TTTCGCATGACTGTATAATTATTTTTGTTTGAGTACAGTAAAACCTCCCAAGAGCGGGAGGGCGTGGTAATTTTGTTCTCTCAAGAGCGGGCATTTTAGCCAATCAAACCTCAATTACCGCTCGATAGAGAACTCTATTTTTAGTTTTAGTCTAAAAAATGCCCGCTCTTGAGAGAACCCGCTCTTCAGAGGTACCGCTCTTGGGAGGTTTTACTGTAATTATATTTTCATTCCCTCATAATTGTATACATGGGCTTTCTAATTATCTCATCAATCCATATAATAATTAATTCCATCATGTTTTTTATTTGACAAGTAAAATATCAAAATTTATATGCAATTTATTTGTATATAAACAGAACTCGAACTAATTACACAACTAAATGAGTGTACCAAAGAATTCTATGCCTCGAGTGACTAAAGGATTATCAAATGCCATTCATAATGGACTTTTTGCATTATTTGTATTAGAGAATGACCTTCAAATTGTCTTTTCCAAACCATTAAGAACTCGGACTATTACAAACAAACAGACTCGATTGACTATTTTAAAAGCATCACTCTTTGCTTCCTTTTCTTATGAATCTAACAACCAAATCACTTCAAACGAACAATTACTCTTCGAAGAAGACTTAAAAAAGAAATTAACAAGTTACTTTGGATATATATGTACTTGTAGAGAATCAAAAAAACAGAACTCTAAACCACAAAATACAATATCATCGTTAACAAATAAATATGGAATGATTTACAGAACTCAAGATATCGTTCTCTATGGAGATTACTTAGAAAAATATGTCAGACTCAATAAAAAGTGTTTAAAAGAAATCTTAGTGACTTCTTCACTATTCAAAAAAACCATCCCAACTGAAAGTATCCAAAACTCTTTTCTCTAATTCTTCAATACAAACAAAAAGTATGTGTTTAAATGATACATCAAACACTTAATTATTAATTGTGTTCTTATTATTACTAATAATAATAAATAATAACTTAATTGATAAAATAAAAAATTATTATTAAAATTATAATTGTAAACTAATAAATATAATAAATATAATACAAATTAAACAGAACCCAAACTCGAAAGTAAATTAATTCTTCTTTCTTTTACCGTCCTTTACAATATAACGGCCGTATTCATAAAACTTAAAGCATATCTCAGACATTGAAATGAATGACAAAATCTCCGTCAACCCAACAAGTGTATAGAAAACTGCACCGTCAAGTACCTTTGTAATATCCTGTGTGTGAGTTTTTTCCAATGAATATTCCAAAAATTTACACGCTTTTCAATTTGGTCATTCTAATATTTTGAATCTTAATCACTCATTATTGATTAAAACAAAATCTGGGTGGAACAACACTTCATTAAAGCATATAAATTTAAAGGAAACAGCAAAACAAACAAGTACGGCGCTAGCGAAGAGTAGGACAACTTCGCCAGCGACCAAAAACTGCTCACATGAAATGAAGTGGTATTTGATGAGGTAGAAATGTGCCGCGATCTGGTAGAGGAGTGCAGGAATGAGCACTTTGAATGTGAGCCAGTCTGGGATCAACAAAATAAGGACAACAAAGGCCAAAACTCCGCATGAAAACTTCCAGTTTGTTGTAAGTGTGATCCTGTAAGCAATTGCGATGTAATACACAAAAATTGAAATGATGTGGAACGAAAACCTCGCCGAGCTGCTTTCAGGATATACAAAAGTGGCGGCGCAGACCCCCATGAAAGACGCCGCAGCGGAAATGACTAAATATATCAAAGCCGCCCCAATACGGAAAAAGTACTTCGCCTCTCTGATCTGGAAAAATCCAACAATAAGCAGGACAAAAAACTCGGCGATGCAAACAGCAAGCCAGAAAAAGGCGCCAATAATCATAAAGTATTGTTGCCATCCCTCTGGAAAGGAAACGTTGTCCGTGCTGAACCCTTCGACATACCGAAGCTGTTCAGATATCATTGCCAATCCAAATTTACCTTCCATGTTATTTATTTACTAAGTTCTTTCAAGACTTTTTTTTAATTTAAAATAATCAAAACCCCCGTCTTTTTATTATAAACAAGAGTGATTTGTCAGAAAAAAGTAATTGGATAATTTACCCGAATTATCAGTCGCCTTTAGTTTATTTTTTTGTTATGCGTGGCAACACATAACAAAACAAATGTTAATAATATTCTATTTTTTTATATTATTATATAATATAAATATATAATATAAAGTCTGTTTTCTATTTAATGATATTGGGTTTTTACTATTATTTATAATAACAGTATTATAATTTATAATAAAAATAAAGTGGTTTTTCTAAAAAATGGTTTGTATTTTATTTTTTTGTTCTTTTTTAAAAAAAGTGTGCTAAAAATAACAAAAAACAAAATTGCTTGACAACTGAAAAAATTATAAAGTCAAAACGAAGAATAGGTTGGTCTTGAAATGTGAATACGACGAAATAAACTATGTCAACCAGGTTATTCAAAATGAATATGTTGTCATATTTGATAGAGCAGACATGTCAAATTATCATTTGGGTCAAATTGAAAACGACAACAAGTGAATTGGAAAAAAGTCAATGCTTTGGATTTGTTTAACATTAGTTTTAATTAATGACAATTTTATTAATAGTTAATGGTTTTTAATTAGCGATATTGAGTATAGTAAATAATGGTTTAATATTTTCGGTCTAGTTCTTTTCTTTGTTATATTTTTAGAATATAGTTAAATAGAAAACAGACTTTATACAGGTATGGTAAAAACCCATCAATTTGTCTTAAACCCCTTGAGCTTCAAAGAACATTAATTACGATGTTATCCCGAAAAAGAACGATAAAAAATTGGACAAAAAAATGTTGTATAACAAAAACAAAATATAAAAATAAAAATAAAAACAATAAAAACCTACATTTGTTTATAACTGTTCAATACATGATCATAACAAGTCGCGTCTCGTGTAAAACCTTAAGAAGTGAAGTTGGCTTGCAATCGTTATCCGAAAATGTTGTTTCTAAATATAAAATATTTTTTTTCTGGTTTTGACCAATCAACTGACGACTTGAGGTTTAAGAAAACTAAAGGGGCAGAAAAAAAGCGATGTTGCCAAAATAATAGTAATTTAATAACACTTTTATAGTTAGTTGTATAGTTTATTTTTCCACTTTTCCGCAATTTGATTCAAAAAAACAAGGTTAACATAACTTAATTTCTTTTTTCGAAATGCCAAAAATCATTTTTGAGATTATACATTATTTTTTCTTGTAAAGATAAGGTTGAATTTGCTGAAAGACAATAGGGAAGCATAAAATAACGACTTCTAAACTGTTCTTTGAAACAAGAAAAATATAAAAATTGGCTAAAAAAACAATAAAAAGATTTTAAAAGTTGATTAATGTTTTCAATATTATTTTTCCTTTTTAGCATAAATACAAAAACTTTTAATCAAAACCCCGTCAGTGTACCTTTTTTCACACCCCTTAACTTTAACTTTTAATTTTTTACATTCTATTTATCGTTCATAAAACACAAACTCCACTATCTAATCAATTACATATCAAACAACTTAATAAACGTATCAATATTCACACTCTTTCAATGTAACAACTTTTCATTTCTTCGATCAAAGACCGACTGCACCTTTATTTCACACCCCCTCTTGATCGATTCCTCATTCGATCAGAAATGCAGTCCACGGCCAAACTTGAAAAACGTTTTTTCAAAAGCTACACCACACAAAGTTGAGTGCATCCATTCCCAGCCCTTTTTTGAGTCCCTGTCAAACAAATGAAATACAGAGCTCCCTTTTATAATCAATTAATTTTTTGAAACTTTTTTCAAAAATCGAAGCAAAATCAAAAAACTGGAGAAAAAAAACAAAATAAAACGATTTTTTAATTAGAAACATCGAACATCGGTAATATTCCGTTTCATGTGTCCATTTGTTTTGTCCCTGTTTTTTAAATTTTTTGAACAAAACCTCAACTTTTTGTGGCAAATATCATTTATGGTCAAAGTTTAATGGTTGTTTATAAAAAACTTGGTCAAACATCGGTTTTTGGTGCCGTTCATGGGAAAAAATAAAAAGATGGGGAAAATAGAGTGGGTTATCTGAAATGGAGGCAACCAAATCTTGTTGGTTAATAAAACAAAAAAATCGTGTTTTTTCATGTTAAGTTAGTAAAATACTATTTGTATGCCGTGAAAAAACTCAATTATTTTTTGTATTTTTTATGGCATTTTATTATTTTTGTTCAGAATTTAGTGTTGATTGATTTGAGTTTGGTAATAAAAAGGTCAACATCGGTTTTAAAAAATGCTTATATTTTTTAAATTTCAACTCGGCAAAACGCAAATAATGTCCAATTTTAAGCAAAACTTTATATAAAATGGTAAAACATCGGTTTTTTCCGCCATAACAAAGACTTGCCCAAAAGTGCATTTTATTAAAAAATTCTAGTTAAGTGTCGAAAAAATGACTTAATTGATACTTAATACGTAATTAAATGCATAAACAGTCAATGCAAACACAACTGAAGAGCGCTCGGGCAAGTCTTTGAAATAACATTATTATAAAAATAAAAGATTATTTATTATAAGAGCATCTTGTGTATTAATATAGATTTCAAGTGTTATATTATCATATATACCACGTTATATTTTGGGTTTTTAGACTAATTGTTGATAATCAAAAAACAAATAACTATTGTAGTTAATAAAAATACTATTAAATAATAAAACATGTCTTAAAAAAATAAAAAATTGATAACTTTATATGTGCAAACTCTTATCAGTAAACCTTGCAGTCACTGAAACACTAACTTAACACGAAGCCAAAGAATTACAAAATGAAGTGTTCGTTATGTGTTATATAAATTAAATCATTGATAAACTATCATGATTTAATATTTTAATAATTTAGTTTGTATAATTTAAACAATAGCTATTAATAATATAACATGGTTTATAAAAACAAACAAAAATATATAAATGTGATTCTATTATGATATAATAATAATTCATTTCAAAAACTATTCATAATACTATATAGAATAAATATTTAATAATTTATAATAAAAATATTATTAAATTATTCCAAATAACTGTTTTTGACCATTTTGGGCAAAATTATTTAAAGAAATAATTAGTAATTTAAATATTAAAATAAATCATTCAAAAATAATGTTTAAAATTAAAGTTATTTATTATTATAATTTTTAATATTTTATTTTTATAAAAAACATAAACTTTGTAAAAAAAACTAAACAACAATGCGATAAAATTTCATCGCAAAATAAAAAACAAATCCATCAAAGCAAAATAATCAAAATAACACCAAAATTATTTAAACAATCACATAATAATTAACAAAATCAATTCAATTGTTAAAAACAACAATCATTAATTAACACAACTATTTTTGTTGAAATATATTCTAAAGTTTCAAATAAAATCAAAAATACACGTTTAATAATTAAGTGTTTATAACAATCTTTATTTTTCATCAATGTCTCATAGCCCAATGATATCAAAACCTCCGAAAGTTAAACATGTGTATAAAACACAAGATGAAAAATTGCAAAGTTTAGTGAACACAATGAAAAAACCTTTAATACCACAGTATATTAATGTGATTGATTATTTAAAAGAAATCCCAGATATGATTATTTTTTTAAAGATCTTGAGATCAAAGTTAAATACATGGCATTTGATTCTTTCCGTCAACAAGTCCGTTATTGTCTAAAGGAATTGCCAGAAAATGTTTCAAAAATATTAAAAGAAAAAAATTGTCTTTTCCCATTGCACTTGACTATTTTTTCGGGACTTTCGAAAGAAAAAGTGTTCATTGTCAAATCGACAAAATAAATAACGAAAATAAAACTGGTAAAAAACCCGAAAAAGGACGAAAAAGACTACTAAATGACGAAGAAATTATTGCGATACAAAACGCAATAAAAGATAGTAAGACAAAAAAAGCAACACGTGAAGAAGCAAGTTTTTTTATTCACGAAAATTTCGACAAAAATATTGGGTCCAAGCAATTGCACAAAATTATGACCCATATTCCAGATGTTGCACCAGTTCTGGCACCAGTTATGGAAGAAAAACGGGCAGAAGTTACACCCGAGTCAATTTTGCAATATTACACCGAATCGAAAAAGAAAATTGATGGGTGCCGTTTTGAGCTTATTTTTAACCTCGATGAAGTTGGATTCGACCAATGGGTCGATTCTCATTCGAAAATTGTCTATGCAGAAGTTTCTAGCGGACAAGATGTGTTTAATGAAGTTGAAAGAGAAAGTTCCAGAACAAGTCTTTTGTGTTGTGGATGCCTCGATGGAACCAAAATGATTCCACTTGTGGTAACAAAAAGACTTTCTCTGGAAGATGTTGCTATTATATCCCTTAAAAGTCGGGCTTTAATAAGGACACAAAAATCAGGTGTTTTGAATACTGAATTATACACCCTCTGGTTAAAAAAGTGTTCTTCCCGACAATTAAGGCAAAAAGAGAACAAATGGGTGTGCGTGCAGATATGAAA